GGCTGCCTGCTCGGTGCTGGCATACTCGTCAAGCTGGGCGAGGGGCGTTGGCAAGCTGCTCGCGAGATGTGGCGAGGGACTGGCGAAGTGTCTTTACTTCTCGCCCCAGCAGCTGAAGTATCACCAAGGTCACACTCACATGATTGCGTGGATGAAGGGTCCTGTTGGTGCGAGAGCCGGTGTTACCTTTTTCTGCACGTTGAGGTCTTCGATGGCCTTGTTCAGCTCCTCCTCCTCTGCTGCATGGCGGGCAGCCGTGTCCTAACCAGACAAGGATTGCGAAGAAACGGATGAACTGTGTGTGATGAGATCTGGTCATATCATTACCTTCAGCTCAGCCGTCAGCAGGTTGTGTTCGGCCCTCAGTCGAGAGACCTCCTTATCGAGAGCACTCTTCTCCTCCTGCACACAGACAGACGAACCCATCGCACTTGATGAGTCAGTCGCCCCACAGTGGTTGGTGGTCGCGTACGGTGAGCGTTGCGATTTGCGCGTCCTGTGTGTACCCATCCGAGCCTCAATCTCACTCTCGCGACGCTGGAGAGCCTGACAATGACACACACTGACACAGACAGAGTCAAGTTGGCGCTGATGGAAGTGCTCTCGGAGCTCATTCTTCTGTTTCTGACCTCCTGAAGCTCATGGCTGTCGTCAGCAGTGCCGCCTCGCACTCCTGCAGCTTTTGGACGAGAAACGACTCCACCTGATGATTGTCCACAGCAGGATGAATCACCATGCATCGCCCAGCGCCCTTCTGTGGTGTGCATCCACTCCTCCCCCGGCGACATACCTTAAGCAGGTTCTGCAGCTGTGCGTCGGCATCCTCTTTGGAGCTCTTCAGCTGCGTCAGTTCCTGCAGCACCTCCTCAGACATCCTGCCAGCGACAACAGAGGCACTGGCCTTGCTGCCCTCACTGCCGCCCCTAGCCCTCCTCAGCGACTTGGGCAGCAGCCGTATCTCTTGACCTTGGAGGACTTCTTGGCCTGCTGCTGTTGGGAGGACTCGCCGCCCTCCTTGCCATTGTCGCCTCGCAGATCAACGGTTTCCCACTCGCGAACGTGCTCGGGTGAGTTGTCCTCTGACAGAGACGTGTAGAAGCCAACAGACGCAGACGCTGCGGCAGGTGGGAGTGGGGGCGATGGCGGGGGCGGCTGGGGTGAAGGTGGGTGGAGGTGGTCATGGCCAGAATGAGCCAACACACGATTACAACGAAGGTATGTGTTGCGACGGCCGTGCCGGGTGAGCAGCTGAACACAGGCGGCAGACAAGACGGACGATTCATGATGCCATAGCGGACGGACACATTCGGCGCATCCCATTCAGACAGGCACCCGTGAGCTCCTACCTGCAGCTGTCGTCGCTGCCCAAACAGAACGTGACTTTGCCCTGAGCCGCACCCTTGGCGGCCGTCAAGGCCATGCCCGTCGTCATCCCATAACCCTGAGACAACTCATCCTGCAACACACAGAGAGGGAAAAGACGAAAAGGAGATTATGGTGATAACACTCTCTCTCTCTCTCTGTGTGTGTGTGTGTGTGTGCTTACGATGAGTATGAAGTGGCACTTCTCGTTGGGCGAAGGGTTCTCGGCGTCGCACTTCGGCCCGGCGTAGCGAGTGGCGATGATAGACTGACTCGTCACGGGACCAGGGGCCTTCAGACCCACACCGATGGGCGTCTGCACCAACCACATACACAAAGACATTCACACACACACGGACAATCCACACATGCGATGAGAGCGTGTCTTGGTAGGTGGCGTACCTGAGGGTGGTCGTGCAGGTCTTTGCCGACGTTGGGCATGTCCTTGACCACATCGATGCCGGCCGCCTCGAGCATCTCCCGCGGGCCCAGCGCGAGGAAGATGCAATCAAGCTTCCACGGCTGCTGGATTCAACGCACAGCTGGCAAGCAGTGACCGTCACAGCAATTGTCACAGCAGGCTGCAAAACAACGGCACACCGCCAGAACTGCAACCATCCACCACACACAGACATGCCACACACACACACACAGAAAGCACTCACGTGCGGTGCCACCGCTCTCGCCATCTGCTTGCCTGTCCCTCTCTCGCCTCACTTTGTCAGATGAGGTCAGATCAGCGCCGCCAGCTGGGAGATGACGACACGCCTGCTGATCGATATCATCTCGGCACCACTTGGTGCACCACACAGGCACTCCGCGCAGCCCTACAGTCGCCAAAAAGAACAAGAGATCGCCGGCCGCTCAGCCTTTAAGCTCGCGGATGTGAAGTCATTGCTTTGTCTGATCAGTCTGCCATCTGTCCATCGATTCATGTTGACTAGTTCACTCCATCAACCACGCTGAGCCGCACAGATCGCATCCACAGCCCCACCCCCCCATGGCTGTCAGGGATCCCATTGATATCATTGTGTGTCTGTGGTAATGTACACCGGCCATCCGACACACCCGAATGCATATCATCCGCCTCGCTATCGCAAACCGCCATCATTGCGCGCACACGTCACTCGCACACAGCCACTCTGCTACAGACAGACAGACACACAGACACACACACAGGCATGCAGTCGCCTTCTTCAGCGGCGTGTGGCGAGGAGCTAAATGGCTCACGTAGGATGTAGTATTCTGGGACGTATGTGTGTCGTCATTCACCAGTCGGCCTCCTCGTCTGATCAACCACACACACACACACACACGCACACACCTGCCTGTCCGTCCGCCTGTTCATCTCATCTATCTGTGAGCATGTGTGTGGTACCCCGGTTGGATGGTGTGTGGTGCCCGCGGGATGGCGGAGGACGGCTCGAAGCAGGGGCAGCAGCGTAGCGGTCGTCGTAGCCTCCCTGCTCGCGGGGCGGGCGGCGATCGCGATCGTCCTCAAACTCCTGACCGATTCATTGATTGGGGACACACAGACATACACACGTTGATCCGGACTCCATGACGACATGAATGTGTGGCATTCATTCACACCGTCCCCGCCCGCCCCATCGACTCACTCGGTTGTTGCGCTTCTGTCGGGGCGGTGCAGCGCCGCCGCGGCGCTCGTCACGATAGTCCCAAGGACGCATCACGTCTGAGGGGGCACACACAAGGCAACACATACATACAGCACACCCACACCGCCCGTGTGTCGTATGTCTGTGTCTGTGCCTCTGTGTGGTGTGGTGTGGTGGTTGCTGACCCTGTCCAGCGCCCATCCCAGGAACCACAGCAGGGTCGTTGTCACGGAAGGCCCGCATGTTACCGCCGTAGCCCCCACCACCGCCCCCGCCACCACCACGCCCGTCACGGCCGTCGTACTCGTCCTCATCATCTAGGACAACACGGAACACTGAAACTGGTGGCAATCAATGTCGGCTCGCTGTCTGCCCTGCCTTTGTGGTGGTGGGGGTGCTTACGCCGTCCGCCGTATTGGTCGCGGTGGTCACGGTTGTAGTCACGGTCACGGTCCTGACGCACACCGACACACACGCAGGCACAGATCTGCATGTATGTCGAGACGGCATCATCTCATCCATCTGGCTTACGTCGTTGTATTGGTAGTTGTTGTTGCGCCCCCCTGTGCGTTCGACGTCCTCCTCGCGAGGCCGGTAGTTGTTGTTGTTGCGCCCCCCGCCGTCACGACGGCCGCCACCACCACCACCTCCACGACGGTCAGGCGTGTCGTACTCATCCTCATACGCTGAGTTGATAAAGAATGCCATCCACACGCAATCGATCCGCCGCTCCATGTGTGTGAGGGCATCCATCTCTCTGTGTGTTGCTTTCCACTTACTGTCTCGGCCTCGGTCGCAGTCGCGGCTGTCTCGCTGCTGTCGTCGGCTGTCTCGGGGCGCGCTGCCGGAGCCGGGGGGCGGGGCGGTTGAGGGTAGGTACTGCATGAGCTGGGCCAGCTGCTGCTGCATCTGCTGCTGCATCTGCTGCTGCATCTGTGCCTGCTGCTGCATCCGCTGCATCTCCTCCTGGTGCTTGCGATTGTTCTCGGCCAGCTTCTCGCGGTGCATGGCGGCCTGGGCCTCGCTCTGCTGCTGCATATACTCCATCATCGCTGACGTGAGACAATGGGTGAGAGGGGGAGGGAGGGAGGGAGGGGCGCGCACACACAGACAGAGAGACACACCCACATGGACGGATGGAGAGATGGCTGTGTTGCGGGGGATGTGTGTGTATGTGTATGTGTGTGTGTGCGCGCACCCTTGAAGTCGGAAGCCTGTGGCTGGGGGCTGACGCCTGGTGGAACGGAATGGAATGGAAGGGATGGAGGAAGAGGCAACAAGACAACAGAGGAGGCACGCGTAAATCGATTCTCTGTCTTCCCTCTCAGTCGTGTGTGTTTGGTGGGGTGGGTCGTACCGTTGGTCGATGCAGCCGCAGCAGCAGCGCCACCTCCAGTGTTGGTGTTGCCGCCCCATCCTCCGCCCCCGACAGACGCCTCGTTGCCCCACCCGCCGCCAGAGGATGATGCCGCACCTGCGCCGTAGCCACCTCCACTAGGAGAGGTACCGCCCCAACCTCCTCCACCACCGCCTCCAGCACCAGACGAGTTGCCTCCAGCGGCAGCGGCAGGTGAACCCGACTCCCCAGGAGACGGCAGCAACTCCCCAGCCTGAAGTAATTGAGATTCAAATCAACGTCACGTCAGCTGCACTGACTCGACTCTCTCAGTCACTCACATGGCTGCTGGGACCACCTGAACCCGACGCCCCACCACGGAGTCTCGCCACGCGTTCATTGTAAAACTTCAGACGTGTTGGGCCGTCCGGGCGGCTCAGCTGCTCCAGAAAGTACATCAGTCTGTCCTTGAACTGGTTGAAGAGGTTGAAGCGTTCCTCGAGAGGCAGCACCTGGGTGGCCCTGTCTGCATCTTTGTGGAAGTCGGTGCACAGCGCTGCCGACCCCTGCAGGTCCCCATCCGTCTTCCACCGGCGGCGGAGGGCCTCTTGCTGTGCGTTCACGGCAGGCCGCCACACGAAGTTGGTCACTCTCCCGAGGTTGAACTCGTTCAGGGGAGCCAGGATGTCGGAGATGTGGCGCCTGATATGGGCCGGCGTATCCGGGTGACTGGCGTAGTTGGCGAAACCCTCCTCCGTCTGAACCAAGACAAACACGCGGCCAAATAAAGCACCGCTCCTTCGAGTGGCTGACTATGTGCGTGAGGGCCTACGTGACGTGTTCGATACATACCAGGTTCAGCCGACTAGTGATCATCTCGCGGAAGCTACGATACTCGGGATCGGCAGCACATCCAAACAGACAAACTGATAGGCAGACAGACGACCAGATAGGCAGACAGACAGACAGACATCCAAAAGTGAGCATGACTCGTGTTCATGCTTCTTACATCGGCAAGCGGGGTCGCTAGGGTCGAAGGTATCCCTGTACTCGGCCGGCACTGTCTCAGGTGTGTGCACCACCAGCCTGATCCAACCCAGCCTCCCATCCAGCAGCAGCTCCTCTCCCGCCCCCCGTGTCAGCTCCATGCCCCACGACAGGCGATGGCCGAAGAGGCCATATTGGCGCATGCTCGCCGGTCGGCTGTCGATTTCCGCCTTGGTGCCCGCGCGCCCCACATCGCGCTCGTCCAGCTGGAGGGGCAGCCTGCCCACATCGCGCTCGTCCAGCTGGAAGGGCAGCCGGACGGACTCGAGTTTCTTGGCAAGCTGCAGCAGCGGCACACTCCCTGACCAGTCGCCCCCCACCTCTATCAGGTGCCGCAGACGGATCAGCCGAAACACGCGACGGCGACTGGTGGACTGACGCAGCGGCTGGTAGTCGATGATGTTCTCCAGTCCGTTGCTCTTGATGAGGCCGTCGATGGCCGACGTCACGGCGGTCTCGACTGCACTGCTGCCGGCGTGTGACGTGCTGGCCATGGTGTTGTTGACCTGGGTGAGAGTGGTGGTCTCATCGCCCTCTGGACCGATCCATCCGGCGAGTGTGTGTTGGAGCTCGGGTGGCAGGCCGTACAGCCGCTGCACGAACAAGTGTGGGTTGGACGGGACGGCACCACCATCACCACCATCACCAGCACCACCACCAGCACCAGCAGCAGCAGCGGCGGCGGACGACGCCGCCGCGGCATCGCCCAGCGAGCTGTCGGCACCGACCTGACCCTGCAGACACCGCCGCATGCCGGCCCGCATAGTGACGCCACTCAGCAGGCCCACATCGAGTGTGTACCTTCTTCTCATTTGGTGCGGTTGTCTTCTTGAGTGCGAACTTCTTGAAGTTGCCCTTCAGCTGCACACATCGCATCGCATCGCATCAATCACACACGCACCCACAGAGGGCAAGGTGAATGTTCACAGCATCCATCCAGTGTTGCGCACCCACCAGAGCCAATCCTTTTAGGTCCGACACGGCAGACTTGTAAGCCTCCATGGACGCAGAGAGCTTCGAGAGCGCACCGTTGGCCATCTTGACTCGAGATGCTCTCATGGGCGACTCCTGCACACACACACACACACACACATGCCGCATTCACTCACACACGTCACACTTACACATCCCTCTCAGGTCGCTCACCGCGGCCTTTGTCGCCAGGTACTTGAGTGCCTCTGGCGGCCCCTGTCACACACACACACAGAACACACAAATAGCGAAGGCATGGCTGATGTGGTGTGGTTGTGCCGCAGGTGACAGAGAGAGACCTACCTGTGAGTGTAGGCCCTCATGAGCTACTTGCGCGTGGCTGCCGAGCAAACCGCCACCTTGCAGAGCGGCTGACACACACACATCAATGGGCCGTCATGCGTGTGTGTGTGTGTGTGTGGTGGTGGTGGTGGTGCCTGCCTTCAGCTCACCTGCAGCCGCCGCCTGTTGGTTCATCATGGTGTGCTATGTGTCAATCACTCACCAACGAGCGAACACCTGCACAGCACAGACACCAACACGAGATGGGATGAGCAGGGGCGGTGTGATTGATGAGCAGTGGCGTGGTGCTCACCCGCCAGACAGCTGTTCTGGTCTGTCATCGATTCCTCCTAGCAGACGTCCATGGCGGATAGATCATCCACCTGTGCTGGAAACGGAAACCAGCCACAAGCTATCAAACCCAAAGGCGGCAGCAATCACGCCCCTGCGATGACTCTAAATCAAAAGGCGGGGGCGGCGTGTGGGTTAGGGTCCATCCGCGACAGAAACCGATGTGTAAGCTCGCTGATCTGAGAGCGTCAGCTGCCTTCTTGGAGTCACTGATCGGACAAGGAAATGGCAGCTGACGCTCTCTCGAGGCCGTTGAATTGCTGACTGTATCTCTTTCGACAACGTTCATTGAAGTTTGCGGCAGCCGTCCGCGCCGATCCTCCGCCCCTTCGTCGAGCGATTGCGGGAACGTTGCGCCGCCATGGCGGGCCGGGAAGAGTACTCGGGAGGTGCCACTGGCACCAAAGACGCGGGGATGGCCACTCGACAAGGTGAGAGGGGATGACTGCACTGTGAGTGTGTTTCCTCACTCCATGGGTTTGCAATGGGCTGCCTTTGCGTTGTCAGGTGGTGGTGGCACGAGTTCCGATGCATCAGAGTTGGTCGGGCGCCAGTTGGCAGCGAGTCGCCACAACGACAAACGAGGCACTGCATGAGTCGCATCCCACCGGTCTGTGTGCCTTCCGTTCTTCAGTGCGAAGGAGCACAAGGCTGAGGGCAACGACCTGATGGCCAAGAAGAGCCCCCGAGCGGCTCTGGCGACCTACATGAAGGCCATGGAGGCACTCGAGGCGGTCAAGTCCGTTGACATGGGGTCGTGGATGGCCCACACCGACAAGGTGCGGCAGCTCACCATGAGCGTCTGGAGCAACTCGGCCCTCGCCGCCCTCAAGGCCGACCTGCTGGACGAGGCCCTCACCTACGCCGACCTGCTGCTGGCCCACGATGACACACCCGAAGGTGACCACAGCACAACGAGAGATGAGTGCATTCATGGACTCATCTGTGTGTGTGTGAATGTGTCTGCAGGCGTTGTTGCGTCGCGCGTGCGCCCGTCGGCTGTCTGGCGACTTGGATGGCGCCGTGGCCGACCTGCGCAAGCTGAAGGCATCACACGAGAGCTACGGCAGGGAGGCCGACGCCGAGATGGCCCTCCTCGCCCACCACATCCAGCAGCAGAAGGCCAAGGAGCACCAGGTGGGCAGACATCGACATGCACGTGACGCGTGTGTGTGTGTGTGTATGTGTGTGTGTGCATGTGTCTGTGTGTTGGCTCCAACAGCTTTTCGGTGGCATGTTTGAGAAGATGTCGTTGTACGGGGCTCCTGACGGGCGTGACCAGGGGGAGGGGGAGGGGTCTGAAGAGAAGAACTGGGTGATGATGGAACAAGACAAGAGCCTCATCGAGTTGGGGACGGGTTATGCCTTCCGCCCCGCCAAGGCCCCCAGAGGCACACAACACATCGGTCAGTGGCACTGGCGATCAGAAGCACCTTCTCCACTCTGCAGATCCGATCCCTCTCCTCCTTTCCTTGTGTGTGCAGAGTTGCCACCTCTGCGTTTCTTCGACGACCAGCCATCGGACCACCCGGCGACGCGCAGCAGTGCGGGCGTCTTCACCGTCGGCTCGGCCACCGCCACCGAGGGACGCACCAAGCGCGCCTCCCGCCGTCTGTCGGCTCGGCCGCTGCACTGCGTGAGCACCAAGACGCCTATCCTGCCCACCGTCTCGAAAGGTGAGTGGGTCGACACACACGAGATGGATGTGCGAGACGATGCGGCATATGTGTGTGTATGTGTGTGCGCAGAGGCTGTGTTCGTGTTTGGCGGGGACCAGCGTCTGCCGAAGGAGGACACCGAGACGAGCAGCGGGCCGATGACAGAGGACGGCACAGACGGAGCGGCCCAGCAGCAGACGGCGGGCTTCTGGGGCAAGGTGTGGTCCTTCCTGTTCCCGGAGGGCATGTGCTGCGGCTGGTGCCGGGAGGGACACACACACAACTAAACAACACACACTCACACATAACAAACACCCACAGACAGACTGATAGGGACAATAGGGGCGGAAGGAGACGATGGGGATGGCCTGGCTGTAGGGCTGGGTTTCACAGAACCAGAGAGATACGGCTGATATGGGTGGCCTGCCTGCCAATGGTGTTGTGTGATGGTGTTTTTTCCAACATCAGCGAAGCGTAACGGTGTGATGTCTCCGTCAGCCCACACTCACCCAAAGGCATCAGACTGACACGCGTGCCTCTTTTTCGATTTGGCTCGATTTGTCCCGCTCTTTGTGTGTGATTTGTCGTCGTTTGGCTGCCCTGCGTGTGCTGATTGTAATGTGTGTATGTGTGTAATGTGTGAGTATCTTGTTTGGTCTGTCTGCCCCGCCAATTTGTGAGTGCGTCGTGTGGCTGGTTCCGCTCCTTTGTCGTCTGCCCGGGTGCCGAGTGACTGACTGAACGGTATCTTTCCTTCCATCCACCACTCATCCCTCTCTCTGCTCCCAGCACACATACACGAGGGCTGGCTGGCTGGGCTGGATCTCACACACGAAAGGACAACACACACGGAGGCAGGTGTGGGTGTGCGCATGGTGCTGTATGCCGCAACCAACAAACAGACAGACAGACAGACGGACAGACAGGCAGACGGACGGGAAAAGACTTTGGCTGCCCGGCTGGCTGGTTGGCTGGTTGGTCGGCTGGATGCCGCCTGTGGTGTCTCGTGGGTTTCATTTTGTCGTCGATCAATCTGTATTTTCTCCATCTTTTGTTTTTCATGTGTTGAGCGTCGGGGGCACTCAGTGTGTCGGTCGACTGTGCCTATGGGCGTTTGCGCGAACTCACGGAATGGTCGGAATGTCAGCTATCATGCGTTTTCCTTTTGGAAAATATATGTGTGGCATTGGTGGATGGGTGGCTGGGTGGCTGTCGTCGTTTGTCGGTCGGTCGGTCTTTTTGTCACCGCACTGCATCGCATACCCTCGCCAGTCAGTCAGTCCACCACTGCTCTGCCCTCCCCGCTCCTCAGGAGTAGCGGGGGATCGATGGGCAGCGGTGGACGGGCCGGGCGGGGCAATGCAATTAATGCATTGCGTGTTGTGTTTGTTCGTTTCCTCCCCACACCGCCTCGCAACCAGCCAGCCCATTACTGCTTTTTCCTTCCTCTGGCCGCGCCCTTGGCGAGCTGAGGAGAGGGGCAGGAGTGGACACAAATGCAATCGGTCGGATGGAGGGAGGGTTGGGTGTCGTGTCGTGTTGTGGGTTTCTTTTTGTCATCGTCGGTCTATCGATTCGTTTCTCCATCTCTTCAAGTTGTTTTTTCCATTGATTGGTTCGGCTGTCATCAGGGGAACTCAGCCAGTGTGTCGGTGTTTCTTTTTGCCCTTTTGTCGACTGCGTGTAAGTGTGTTGGGGGGGACTCAGGGGATGGCTGGCGTGTCAGTACTGACCCGTCTTCTTTTTGTGCGTGGGATGTCAAGGCGAGCATCACCACGTGGGACAGCCAGCCCATCGACCACCCAATTAGGTACTCAGACTGTCTGTCTGTCTGTCTGTCTTGCTCTCACCTCGCCCCCCACACCCACACTTAGCCAAGTGCTCTGATTGATACATAGCCAGGCCAAGCCAAGCTGAGCTGTTCTTGTGTGCATGCCGTCTGTGTGTGGGTGTGTGGCAAGCACCCACCCTCCCACACGACTCGCTCTCAGACAGACAGATCAAGGGGGCGGTGTAGTCTTATCTACTGCCGCGTCCGCTGTGTGTGTGTGCGTACTGTCTGTCTGTCTGTCTGTGGCAGAGTGGCTGTGTGCGAGTGACGTGTGCGCGTAATGGTGGCGGTTTGCGAGAGCGAGGCGGGTGATATGCATCTGTCTGATGGCCGGTGCACATAACCACAGACAATGATATCTTAGATGGGATCCCTCACAGCCATGGGAGGGTGGGGCTGTGGATGCGATGTGTGCGGCTCAGCGTGGTTGATGGAGTGAACTAGTCAACATGAATCGATGGACGGATGGCAGACTGATCATGCAAAGCCAATTGCAATGGAAACCGTATCTGCGAGCTTAAAGGCTGAGCGGCCGGCGATCTCTTGTTCTTTTTGGCGACTGTAGGGCTGCGCGGAGTGCCTGTGTGGTGCACCAAGTGCTGCCGAGATGCTGTCGATCAGCAGGCGTGTCGTCATCTCCCGGCTGGCGGCGCTGATCTGACCTCATCTGACAAAGTGAGACTGTGAGAGGGACAGAAAAGGCATTAGCGACGGCACTGCATGTGTTCTCTGTGTGTGGCTGTGTGGCAGGGCTGTGCCGTGAGCTGCGGGTGGCTCAGCTTGCCAGCTGTGCGTTGAATCCAGCAGCCTTGGCAGCTTGATGGCTCAAGCTGTGCGTTGAATCCGCCGTGGCAGGTTAATTGCCTCTTCCTCACGCTGAGTGAGAACGGCGGATTTTCCATCGACGGGCAGACCAACCACAAGTCCGGGTGTGGCGAGATCATGCCGTCGCCAATACGACGGCATGTGGCTGAGGATGGCGTGTGGCGCTGGCGGTCTGTCAGGCACGAGGTCAGCTGAATGGATGATGACAGCACTCGAGAGGCGGCTCCCTTGATGCAGCCGCCGCAACAACCGTTGCTTTCTCTGCTTGGTCTGTGTGCAGGTGAGGATTGCTGTGGTTCCGGTTCCTCAGGAGGGCTGGTCCTACGGACTCACTCACGAGAGCGGACAGCCACCCACAAAACACGACAAACAGGTCGGTGGGAGGATGGGTGGCAGAGACAACACACAACACACCTGGCTGCATGTCTCTCGTCCATCCCCTGTGTGTGTGTGTGTGCCGTCAGCCATGGCATCGTCTGTCCCGCGATGAGCTCGGGTGCATCTTCGGCTACCTGTACCCGTGGGAGCTCGAGCGGCTGGAGGCCTCGCTGCGCACCCCGCTGTTTCTCCTCGCCCCCGCCCACTACTCACACCTTTCCATCGATGCATCCGATGACGAGGCCGTTCTCCTGTGGACGGCTATGCGTTACCGGCACCAAGCAGGGCGACCTTCCCTGTCTGAGAGGGAGAGAGGGCGGCATTTATCGCCGCTCTCCTCCATGTGCACTGGCTCGGGAGCAGCGGACGTGTGGCTGGCCGTCGTGGTGGGGTGCGTCGGTATTCTTTATGTGTGTGTGCGTGTGTGCGTGTGTTGTGTGTCTGGATGGATGGATGGATGGTCAGTGTACTGGCAGTTTCTTCAGTACCGTAGCGCAGGCACCCACTCACTGGTGTGTGTAGTTTGCTGGATGGCTTTCCTTCGCAAAGGTCACAGGTAGGGAGATTGACGCGGCATTGGTTGCTGTAGATTCCGTGAGCACAGGCAGGCAGGCAGGAGAGAGAGAGAAGTGTGCACTAGTTCACGGGCAAGTCTGTCTGCCCTCCTGCCCTCTCGTCTGTCTGCCTGTTGTGTGTGAGGCAGCTTGCTGTGCTGAACCGCACACAACGTGTCGTCTTTCTGTGGTCGACGGAGGGCGAATTGATGGATGGATGGTAGTAGGTAGCCAGTTTCCCTTCGCAAAGGTCACAGGTAGGCACATTGACTGACTGACTGACAGACAGGTATGCGCCGAGTAGTGTGCGGCATTTTATGTGTGTTGTCTGTCTGCTTGGGCGAGTGCATTTATTCTGCTTGCTGCTTCACGTGGGCCCAGGGAGGCAGACAGGTCAGAGGCACCAATGAATGAACTCAACCAGACAGACGTACATCCATTTCATGTGTGTCTGTCACGTGTGTCGGTCGATAGGGGCAGTGCAGGGAGGCCGGCAGACAGACAGACAGACAGGCAGGTGGAGAGAGGGACACATCCAACAGGCAGCTGCAACTGGAGAGAGAGAGATAGAGGTGACTTGCTGCCTGTGCGGACAAACAGTGGCAGTGTCATTACATGGTGATGGCTGGGCGGCAACGGAGCCGCTGGTCTGTTCAACACCGATAGATTATCCACACAAAGCCACACCAAGACGCCCTGACAGCCCATCGTCACCACCAAAGTCAATTGAGATCTCCGCCCCCTCAGTGCATTTGAGTGATATTTGTCCTCCAAACGGTCTGTTTGTGCTCATCAAGTGTGCCGTCAAAGCCAAGGGGCGGGGAGATGGCCACAAATACTGTGCGAGCTGGATCGCCTCCCTTCGCGAAGAGAAAGAGAGTAGAAATGGCGCCGCCCAACGTCGCCTGGCATCCAGCACCGATGCCCTGTCATCCTCATTATTGCTATCCGCCTGGACGGCCGGCACTTCCGCTCATCAACCCGCCGGCGTCCTATGGCTACCACGAGGGGCTGTCGCGACACTACTATCCCGTCCCCGCCACCGCGCCCGACGCCCCTGAGGGCCAGCAAACTGAGATGTGCGCCCCCTGTGAGGCCGCGGTCAACGCCGCCCGTGCTATGGACCAATGGTTCCGAGAGCAACTCGCGAAGATCGGCGAGTCGCTGCGGCAGTGCGGGTGCTGCCTCGTCAGCGGACCAGAGAGCCAAGAGGCTCAGCGGCCGAGCGGTCCCTCGGCCGACGACCAGCTGACAGGCACCTCGCCGACCACACCTCGCTGGGGGAACGTTGCACCCCCCCGGGCTCTGCAGCAGCGCGACGGCCCTCCTGCTGCATCCCACCCCCACCCCCTTCCCCTTCCCCACCCCCACCATATGGGGTTTGTGGCTGCGCACTCGCCCCCGGCCCCGCTGCGGCCCATCTACCCGGCCACGGCCACCCCACCACTGATGGGACTGCAGCACCAGCAGGCTCCCCGCACGACGTCCGCCGCACCACGGCCACGGCCACCTATCCACCCCAGCGGACCGGGGCGGCCTGCTGTAATCGTTCGTGCTGGGCCGCTTAACGGCGGTCTTCAGCCGGGAGAGGGAGGGGTACATGTGCATGTGCATGATTCATCCAGCCAGCAGCCCACCAGCCACCACCACGAGGCTGCTCCAGCCATGCCGCCCACTACAGAAGACGACCACCACGGGCAGGCCAGCAAGACAGAGGAGGGAGAGAGAGAGGAGAAGGCCAACACAGCCGCCCCCA